TAGTTAAAAGCATTGCAAAAGCAACGCTCATGAAAAAAGGGGCAGCGGCCATGGACTCAACCAGCTATTCAAAAAGATTTGTAGAAATCTGAGACTCCCTTCCCCCTCCCCCCCAAAAAAAAAAAACCAAAAGGCCCCTTGAGTCCACAGGATTATGGTTCTTAACATGTCTTCCTTCTTTGACTAGCTTAGTCTGACTAGCCCAGCTAGATTATTCATTTAAACAAGTTTATGGGCCTACCTAGTTGCACCATATTCCACAAGCACTGATAGGAAAGAGGGAGAGAAGAAAAACAAGAAAAGGAAATCATCATTCCAAATTTTTTTCTAAAAAATTATCATTCCAAATCAATCGAGATTCTAGCAAGAGTAACATGTACAATGCCTAGCAACCGGAGCATAGGGGAAAACAACAATGATTGAAACACAAAACATCCAACACAATATGAAATGTCCATTCATTTACACGTAAGCATTCTTTAAACTATATTAGTAGCTACCAAAGAAGCATTTCTTTCAGGTTGCAACTAACAACCCAGACAAGTCAATTAGCCAAGTTAGTCAAGACAATCCTACTAACTTTACCACTAGAAATCAGTTGAATCAAGCAAAAAAGTGGATTCCCATATGGGAAACGACAATGACTAAAACACAAAACATTCACCACAATGTGAAATGTCCATTCATTTACACATAATCATTCTTTAAACTATATTAGTAGCTACCAAAGAAACATTTCTTTCAGGTTGCAACTAACAACCCAGACAAATCAATTGAGCAAGTTAGTCAGGGGAATCCTACCGAATTTACCGCTAGAAATCAGTTGAATCAAGTAAAAAAGTGGGTTCCTCAAAACCGCGTAAAAATACTTATGCCACTTTCGACAAGGACTAGACCTAGCTCATTCACCTTATGAACTCAAGAGTAATCGCTTTACTCTATCCCAAAATGACCAAAAGTAGCTTCACTATGTACATAACCCAATTCACGAGTTAATGAGCTCATCAACCTCAGCTTGAGCCAAATTCAAGAAATCAACAAGTTTCAGACCATGAAAGATCTTAACAACACAAAAGATGAGGAGTCAAATCTGATGGAACTAGGAATTAAGTGACTGGTGAATGTGAAGGCATAGTTTTTATCTAATTAAGTCCAACTTCAAATCAATTCTAGAAGGGGTATATTGAGCACTATAAAAACAAAGAATTTGATTATTCCATAACACAAATTACATAAATGTGTATCTGTGTGTGTGTGTATACATATATGTCACGCTGGCCCAAGATTAGTTATTTGAAGAGTGAGTGCTGGCATTTTCATATTGAATTACAACCATTTGCCCTCTTTCTTGGAAAGAGAGGATAACACCCTGGAAAACAAGTCGCCTTAGCACTGATGCAAGTTGTCTATCATTAGATTGATCTTTTGATTTTGTAAGGGCCAGAGCCTTTGATGATCAAGAAGCCAATATTGTAATTCTTGAGGATGATTCTTTCAAGAAAGAGATCGATAATCAAGTGCATAAAACTCTTCGACTTTCAAGCTCCGCAGAAGAGTTTACCAAATCACATCAATCGAATCACTTTTTTGAGAAATAAAAGATATTTACATCATACAAGTAAAGAGATCTACTCATTGATAAGAAAAAGAAAAAACATGCACACGAATTGGATTAATGATAAATAGAATCCTAGGTCGCGAATAATGATTCGATTGATGATGAAGAAAGAGAATTATTAGTTCAGTTCTCCACCTTAATGACAAAAAAGGACTGATCAAATTCTATTGAGTCTGGCTCATTAGTGCTCAACCTATTTAGTGGCAACTCTAGCAAGGCATGGCTCGAAACTAACCTTGTGTTTGGTTGGACTAAAAATGGGTGGATGGAAAAGTGAGGATGGAAAATGGGAGGGAAAAAAAGATTTTTTATTGTTTGGTTTGAGGAGAAAATGGGATAGAAAGAAAAATTGAATAGAAAGTCTTTCCACTCACCATTTTTAATCCTCCCAGATTTGGGTGGAAAATGGAGAGAGAAGTTGGCTGCTATGTTGTGATAAAGTTAATTTACATTTATACCCTTCTTACTTGCATGTCCTTTCTTATCATGTCTTTAAAGTACTATTTAGCACGAGGGGCTCAATTTTTAAAAAAACTAACATGTGATCTATCAATTATTGCATTTGTTCACTTTTTGTGGATAAAATTGTAGATTACACAATTTTTTTTCCTTTTCTTTGTTACACCATACTCAAACAAAATTGTAAATTAAATTTATAGACAATGACAAAATGGTAAATTGAATTTATATGTTATATGGATACTGGCACGATTCTCGTGTCATGTTGGACCTTCAATTTTGGCCCTTTAGTGCAGGTACAACTAGACATGGTCCAATGAGTGGTTTTAAAATTTTGGCCAAAATTGAAAGAATTACCCTTCACAATAGTCATATAATAACTAGTTTAAAGTGTAATTTTGCATGGGTCCATTTAGCAGCGACCCAACACAACAAAGGTCGGAACTAGTCGTGGTATGACCGAACAAGCACGATTCCTGTGTTGTGTTGGGTCTACCCTTTTGCCCCCCTAAGTGCAGGCACGAGCATTGACATGGACACAACCCAATGACTAGTTTTCAAAAGTTGGCCAAAATTAAAATAATTACCCTTTCCCAACAACTAGTTTGAAGGTGATTTCTATATTCGAATCAGAGGTTATTATTAACAATTCTTTTACATCTAATTTTTTCATAGTTTATCTTTTAATTCTAGCTAGGTTTTCATTAGTTTGTACGTATTTATCTTATAGGTTATTATTAAATTTTTTGACTCATCTTATTTGGTCAGTAATTGTTATCATTCATCATATTACAAAATTGACCCCATGGATTTTGACCTTGAGTATTTAGACTTGGGTGTCAATGAATTTGATGATATACCAGAATGTTAAAGTGAACTTTCGCTCTCAGTGTTGTCACTAGAAGCCCTGAAAAAGGCTCTGCACTTCTGAAGTATCAAACCATTTTACCATAGAAGAAAAAATAAAGTAGTAGAAATATGGAATCAAGAACTCCATGTAATTTATCATAGAAGAAAGAAAAGACAAAAGTAGAAATATGGAACCAAGGGGTACATATAACTACTGTAAGACTAACTTGAGCTGCAAAAACAAAAGTGATATGGGCCACCTCACTGACATAGAAAAGATGTTTGGAAGAATATGCAGGTAGTAATGGCCCTAAATAAATCCAACTTAAGTAAAACTGTGGGACGTTTGTCAATTTTTTCATACTCTCAATGCAGAAGAAGAGAATGATTGACCAAATATGTGGCTGCAACAGAGCAATCCCTTTATTTTGTTGCAAATGTCAAATTTGAAAACTCAGTCAACTCATCTCATAATCCTCAGGGGCAAGGCAAGAAATGTACCATATCCGCGGCCGGGGGGGGGGGGGGGGGAGGAATTTTAATAATGATGATAATATAAAATAATCAAACTAATAACAAGTGCAAAAACTTAAGTATTGATTGATATAATTTCTATTCAATATATTCACGATTATTTCTGGCTAGTTTTAATATTTTGAAAGCATTACATGATAATTTCATTATATAATGTAATTAAATTTTGAGGGATTCAACTAACAATATTATTTCTTTACTTAATTAAGAGTTGAGAAAATTAACCCAAATGTGAGAAAATAATTTAGAGAGTTAAATTGAATGAGAATTTTTTTGAGGGTACTAATTTTGGAAAAAAATAAAACGCCATCAAAAATTTGCAAAAAACAAATTGACCGCCTCTAGTAGTCCTGCTTATTTTAATGTTTCTAGATATTGTTAGAAATTATTATTTAAGGGTTTTTAACAAAATGAAAAAAAAAATTGACCTTTGAATTTAATTGAGACTATTTTTTGTACTTTTGGAATGTGATTTTCGTAGGATTTATAAAGTAGTGGACAAAATTTTTTTAAAAATATTGAGAGTTGGAAGTACATGCCACCTATTTTTATGTTTTGGAGCAGTAATGGATCCTAGAATTACAATAATTGGTGAAGAAATGCTAAAAAAATGGAATTTTTGAAAAATTAAACATGCCACTTCATATTTCTATAGCTGATTGTCATTAACTTCCATTTATAATATACAGATATATCAACCGAAATGTGCAAATAATACAAGAACTACTTTGAGTAGTTGTGACCCATCTTGGTTTATGCTTACCATAACAAAAATCTAGTGTAAGCTCTTTTCTACGCACTAAACTTTATAGAGATATTTAGCGACTTGTTTTACAAATTTCCTTATCCATGAGCAGGTAGATTGATATGTTGACATGGTAGGAAATGCATCAAATGACTTTTTTATCATGTGCTTTACATAGTGGCATGCAATCTGCTAACACCTCTGGTATCTGCAGTACAATCTAAATCTGCTTTTAATGAAGTATTGGGTGAGAGGATCTAACTTCAGAAATCTTGGGCTCTTTATGTGCATGAAGGATTGGGGGGATGCAAGACTTGAGGCTCAAAATTGGAAGGATGATATGGTTGAAAATTTTGCAAACTTAATCCAAGTAATGAATCTTTGCTACTCTATTTACTTCGTATTCATTATTCTCATTGATCCTTTATATTTGAGTTCAATGTTTGTTCACTCTATCTTCAAAAGCTATATTCCCTTTCATTAGTTGGGACCTATTCCAAATTTCACCATAAAAAAACCCACATAAAAAACAAAAAATAAAGCAAAAAAAAAAGATAGGGGCTGTGGGGCACGGCACCGCCCAGGCACACGCATGAACTGTTTCATGTCCATTGATCGTGCCAGGCCTATGCTTGGCCTGACGCACAGCTAGAACAGTTTATAAATAAGCTGTACCAGGCTGTTTTATACCTCAAATTATGTTTTCTTTGTAACAACACATCCATCACATCAACATGAAGATCAACATAAAGGAAGTCGAAATTTTTGGTTTAGCAACTGAAAATAGAGCAGAATTTAAAGCACCTGCAACCTAAGATAAGCAAAGACTGGTATCTCCAGTAAGTGGATCAATTTGTCCAGCTGGACCAAGAATTTGACATTAATATCCTCCTCAGCCAGAGATTGAATGACAGAACTTGCATGTTGGTAAGTCTGTAAAGCACCACCAACAAAATGCAATAAAACCATGAGGATTGCACAAAAAGCCATGAAGCATTATCATCTCTTGAGAAAACAAAGGTGGGGGGAGAGGGGGAGGAAGCAAAATGGAGATAAAGAAACAAATTGGGGCACCAGAAAAGTGTGAATCCTTGCCTGAGCTAAGAAGCAAAGACTTATTGTTGCCATTGGTGAATGGCACCATGAAGGATACAAAGAAAGAAATAAGTCCTTCCCGGCAGCATTGACAAGAGATTGTTTTAGAAGATCCCGAAGTCCAGCCAACTCTGAGGAAGTAAGCAGAATCAAATTCAAAGCCTGAAACAGCAAAGCAAACATGCATAAATAGTTTTTACTGTAATAAGAATCACAAGAACCATATGATAGAAGTGATACAGGTGATGTCTGACAAAAGATGTTTGTCAATTTCACATCTTAATCAGGTTATACTATGTGAAGCACAGTTCTGGAAACTTCTGGAGTTAAATATTCTTTTGTATGTTCAAATATATCTCATTTATCTGTGTGATGAGTTTTCATGTCGATAACAAAACCTGAACCATAATTGACGCAAAATCCAGGTCAGATTCCCCCTCAAGAATAATGGAGAGCTCCCGGTACACTCTCTCAGCATCTAAAAGTACACAAAGTCGACGGACTATCAGAGCACCACGCCTGAAAGAAGAAAATAAGAAAACAGTTAGGTTCTACTTAATCGTCAATCCAAAACTACTGACATAAGAAGGCTCACTTCTCCAGGAGAGAGTTGTTGACCCGAAAGTTATGAACTAAGAAAACAAGAAGCTGGCAAAAGTGTTGCGGATCTTTGGCAATACATGCATGCACCTCAAGCACCATGAGTACTACCTGGGAAATCCAGAACAACATGTTACATAGCTTAATGCAGAGAAGGTTTCCTGTAAATTAAATTTTGGCATTGAGGTATGGTATGAATGCAATGCCATTATAGATGTACCAAGTCAAAATGATTTTAGTGCTTAAAAATTACTCCTACAGATTATTAACAATTAGAGATACTGGAGTTGGAGTCATACTTCCATGGCTGAAGCAAAATTACGGGTCTAAAATCTCTCCAAAGGTTACTAAAATATCAAAACACAGGCCAAATGGACAGTTTGTAACAAATAACCTGAGATGACAGAAAATCCAAGTCTACTAGTCAAAATCTACATAGAACACAGAATAGTATGTCCAAGTCAAGCGCTACAGTGGGGAGATGAAAACAGTAGCTAAGAATGTACTGAAGCTACAAGATCCACAAGGAAGAAAACCTTAAATGTCAGCATCACTTTTCAAGAGAGCTTTTGTTAGTATACATAATGCTTTTCTCCTTTCTATGTCTTTCGAAGGGGGTGGGGGAGGGGGGTGTATTTTGTTTCCTGTTGGATTGTTTTCCCCTTTTAAGAATATGAGAGAGAAAAGAATATCCATTTCAGTATTAAGTACTCTGCAGCATTGGTAGTGAACAGTACAGCAGCTCTCCCTCTAGATGAGGCAATATATACAACTCAAGCTTATGAGGCATTACATACAACTCAAGCTTATGTTTAATCATGTCATGAACTGGCATATGTACAACAAATATCATGATAAGATTGATGTTTGCCCTTGGGATATGTGCTAGACATACAAATTAGAACACTCCTATCAGGACTCCTAATCTAATTTTTCCATCCAAGTGGACTAGTGGAGATGAGAAACACTCTTAAGCCACATAATGCTGCTTTTGATACTGGATCTACATTCTATAAGCAAATTTGGTCTCATTAGAGAGTGAACCTTATGTGATATACATTACTACGGCATTATGTGCCCAGCATCAACACAGAGATGCCAAGAATCTCTCATTCCAATAATACATTATCGTTGCAGTACAGCAGTGAAATTTCTTGTTGACAACTGGAAGGTTGTAGCTTCACTTGTAGATTGAAATATCCGGAAAGCCATTTTGTGAAAATAAAGCCAAAAAATTGGTATGAGTGCAGTACATCCCTCCCAACACCCTTGGTTAACAGCGACCAAATTGGGTAATGACCTTATTTACAAAGATCTTTGTTATCTATTGTATACTCTCAGAGAAATGACAATGAGAATGACAAGAAATTGCGAGACTCGCAAATCAGAACTCAGCAAGATAAAGAAGATTACCTCATCAGAAGGATCTGATAGTGCCTTGAGAAGTGTGTCCAAAAATCATTGAGCAAAGATAGGACCTGTTTCAAGCATAAAGATGAGAAATAACCTCTCCTTGTTACAACGAGTCTCACCCAAAATTGCTCAAACAAATTGACAAAACTACAGCAAATATCAGCAACTAAAATACCAAACATCTGTTCTCGAGGCTAACACATGGCATCGGTAATATTTGGCCAGTGTACAAACACTTTTAGAAATAATCAAGTCTAAAAAACAAGAACAAATAAATTGATAACAAAACATAAAAACACTATTCTGGAAGAAACTCTCTAGGAGTATCACAAAGCTCTAGCAACTTCAGTGCAGAAATAGGATGCTACACTTCATTCACAATGAACTTCGAATTTGGCACCAAAAAGAGCCATACGAGAGTTAAGGCAGATGTGGAACAGAGTTTTTTACCTAAAAAAGTCATGGAACAGAGTTCTGATGAAAAAGTAACTGCTTTGTCACTCCATGAACAAACATAAACAAGGCATAACATCCAAAACAAAACATGGGAATCTAATAACAATGTACAAGCATGCAAAAGGGGGGTTAGTGAAAAACTCAATGACCATAAGCTTCAGTTAAGCGCTTGCTTAACATGCAGTAAGTTTAAAAGAGACCTTACTTGCTTGTAGAGATAGAAAAAAGGAGGGGGGCGGGGGGAAGAGAGAAGGAGAATACAAAATTAATGGCCATATATCGAGGCTAAGCTGAAAATTTTACTTTGCTTATGAGATTACTTATGGGAAATAAAAGAACCAGCAGCCTGGAATACTGGAGGTGATTTCTTCTTCCTTTCAGATGAAATGGGAAGGAAGAAACATATTTATATATACAGTATAAACCCCTACTCCATATTCTTATATACTTTCCATAGAAATTACTGTTCGATCCATATCCTTATTATTGAATTCAATTTACAACTTTACGTAAATTCTCACACAAACTTGATTATGTCTTTCTCTCCTCAAATCCTATTAGAAATGATTTCATTTAGTGCAATAGAGTTGGTAAAATGATGGAGCTAACAACTGCAAAGTTTGTGGGTAAGCATTCGAAGATAATCACCCCGTGCAACTAATGCCAAAAGCAAGGTTCCACCCTTCTGCACCCTCATTTACAGAAAGTTGGGAACCCACTGCTTTTCTTCATTGTTCAATCATATGAAAGTGATTTAACTAATTTGAATCCAAAAATTGATGTGCAGTTTGTGTGACAAAGGCAGAAGGAAAGTTGATCACCACTTTTTGCATCTCCTACCCCCAACAATATGTGAGAAGGGTTGTATAGTTTGGAAAATGATAAAAAAAAAGGCAACCCCATCCACAAACTCCAATAAATAGGACACCAGATAAGATTGACAGGAAGTCGCATGTGTACGTGCTACTCCATGGTCATTCCTACCCTTTTTATTTATTTGAGCCAAAAATGCTTGACCTTTTTCCTGATGTATACAAATATTCAATTTATTTTCAGAAGTGGCATAACTTGCAAGCAGGTGAATTACTCAACAAACAAGGAGGAGAACTACTTGGCTCAGCAAGAGCCTTTCAAAATAAGACCTTTACCGTCCTATCTGGCTCATTCTTCAACAAATAAAAAATCACTTTTTCATTATCACTCTTCTCTTTTCCCTTTTCCCCCATTTTCTTTCTTATTGATGTGTCTCTGACAGTTGGGGTTCATCTGCCATTTTTGCAGTGCCTGCGCATTAGCCAAATCCCTCTTTTGTTTTACTTGTGCTAGCTTGGCATGAATTTGCTTGCAACCTCTTTGCACACTTCTCCATGACAATTGTGTCTATCAACACACACACTATAACATAAGGAAGAAGCTCAAGGAATGCATAATCTTATTATTCCTTATTACCTCCACACGATGTCTGGTTAAGAGAGTTGAAAACCAATGCAATGCTTCAATTCGAGTTGCCTCCAATTCACTGGACAACTCCCTGATAGATAGAAGAAACCCCAAAATTAACCACCAAATGGAGTAAGCATCTAGGGTTAGGAAGTGAGACGAAAAGTGAAGGTTGCCCATATTAAGTTCGTTCAAAGAATGGCTGAATCAAAAGCCTGCTGATCAATGAATTGCTATCGGAGCAAGCTATGGGACTAAAAGCTATGTCAACACATATGCCATATGACTAAAATAACCATTAAACATAGCAGTTTGTTCTCCATAAAAAAAATACACCTCTTTGCAATAGTGAGAATTTCTCCAACATCAAATCCTTCAGCTGGAACAGCCTTGACAGCACGCAGTTCTTCATTTGTTTCACGAGCAACCTTATAATGGATAGCAGAAAGATAACATTAAGAAACAAAGGTTCAAAATCACAAAAGCATTTAAAATTGCAAGGGGCAGGGAGGTAAGAGGGGAGAAAAAAAAGCAAGACAAGGAGAAAAGAAGATAGAGATAGCTTATGAACTGATCAGGAAGATGACATCAACTTACAACTCTTATTTTCTCTTCCTTATCCGATATGCAAGGTAAAATAGCTCCCAAAATATCAGCATAATAAGGAACAAGCTGATCTCCACCAAGTTTTACAAACTCATTTATCTACACAGTAAAGTAGTGTATTGAGACTGATCCAAACAAATTCGCCAGCATCAGTAAACTACTGTTCAATTGAAAATCATGCATTCTATAGTTGTGTGTATGTGAATTAACTTCAGCAAAGTCCTGTTATAGAAAAACCATGCACTTGTGATTATGTATAGATGCCCTTACCCAAGTAATAGCAGTCAACCGAGTGAATTCATCGGACGAAGCTGCCCTCTGTACCAGTATCTCAGCCATGCGACCATAATCTACAGACTTCAAGAGTAGCAATGCTTGAGTGAGAAATTAAAAATGAACAACAAATTTTGCTTATGTCTAACATATATGACACTTATAATAAATTATAAATGCATGTTGTCTCTTTCACTAGCAAGTCTAGACATATCGACCATCAAATTCCTAAGTAGCAGCAACAAAATTGCTAATGCCCATTGACCACGGATATCAGATTTAGGTTTGCAGATCCAAAACAAGCAGAAGTCTTACTGGAGAATTCTTGATCTCTTGAAGAAACTCTGAAAGGGCTGAATCAGCTTGTTGCCTTATTTCATGGCTAGAATCACTTAACATATTAAACAACCCTGAAATTTCATATGCCATATCAATCATGTGTTATTGCAACTAAAACAGGTGCGCCCACATAAGCAGGAGTCTATCAACCTTAGATCTGAATTTACCATCAAGAAAATCAGGAAGAAAACCCAGCATATCTATATCGGGAACGCTGTCTAATACGGTAATCCATCCGACCAGAAACTGGCGGACGTAAGGATTGAGAACATTCATACGCTCTCTCAATAATGGAATAAATTCTTCAATGCTGCAGAACAAAATGTGAAACGAGAACCTTATACAAACAACTCACTCAACTTTTACAATATAATTGTAAATACTGGCAAAAAACGGATTATATCTGGAACTAGAACAAGAAGATAGAGCACCTGAATTGATCAGTCTCTGTGACAATATCCTGTTTCACACAACAATAAAGTGTTTATGTTAATATTTTAAAGTGCATGTGTGTCAATAGGAACAAGCCCCTAAGTGTGAAGCAAACGTAATTATTCACCTTTACAAGTCTGTCTAAAAGATGTGCCGCACTCTGTACACTGGGATCTGAATCTGTGGAAAGCCTACAGAGAGCATCAAAGATTTGATTGAAGAAAATAATAAATTCTCCTCTCACAACCTGCCAAAAAGCAAGAGATCAACGGATTATGCATATGCAGAAACAACCCTTGTAATATGAGTCCACAATTTGTTCTTACCTTTGCAATGTTATATAAAGCTTCACAAGCATAGTAACGGACTCTGCTATCTTGGTCAGAAAAAGAATTTAGCACTGGCGGTACAATTTGCTGGCAGAATGGCAAGATGTGTCAGAGTGAGAGGAAATAAAAGACAGAGAAAGCAAGAGTTGAATACAATATAAGGAAATAACATCTTAAAGAGAAGAAAATTTTCAGCAAACAATGAACTACTAAACTATTCTAATCAAGGTGTTAAACCATTTCCTAATTGATTGGATTATCAAATGCACATTCTGGGAACTCTGAAGATCACCTCAAAAATTCAAAAAGTAGTGTACAACAGTTTGAGGTCTATGTCAATACACAATTTCACAAAAAGTCAATAACAAGCTTCTCCAACAATAGGTGATTGATGCACCACAGATTTAAAAGCTTTTGATAATAGAATCAACTGACTAATCTGTCACCTACAAGAAGATGATATGACTCCGATAGTTTAGCTTGCATAGTTGGCAATATTACAAGGTCTGCCGCTAAATTGATGAAAGCTATGCAAGTTAGTAGTAGTGGCACTGCAGCCTGAATCTAATAATGTTGCATTTGTCATATTAGAAAGTTTTGTACATTTAGGAAGAAAATTTTGAGACCTAACTTGTGAGACAAAGAGTTTCAAATGGTATGTAGCTGCTTTTCAGAGTTTGAAGGTCCACTAGCTCATGAGTGCACAACATGATTAACCGCTAATAGATGAACTAGGATTGAAAAAAAAAATCAGTAGATAATCAAGCTCTCTCCCTCCCTCTCCCATCTCCCTGAAAGGCTTTAAAGTGGTCACCATGCTGTCTTTTCTTAGCTTCTCCCTCAAATGGTGCATAGCTGCTTTTTAAGTTTATGTCGTATATATAGGCTTAGGAGTGTGAGACAAATTAACCCACAAACAAGTGAATCCATAACTTAAATCATACACCGGTCACAACCGTGAATCCATACTGCATACATACTGTACAGGCCTTCACGTCATCTGCCTCAAACAGCATCAACCGAATAAAAAATGCTACATCTGTGTCTAGTCAACATCAACCTGACCCAAACCCATGCTACCTGTTGAACAATGCAGCGTTTTTCTAATATAAGAACAAAATGAGGGCATACAAAATACTTGGTGGATGCCAAAGAAACCCTAAAGACTAAACTTCAAACAGCATGTTTCAGGTTTGGTATCCAAGGTTGCGGTTCGTTTATTTTCTCCATTTCAAGTAATGAAAACCAACAATCAAGGCAACTATTTGCTTAGAATGCACTCAATCTTCCCAATATGCAGTCTATATTAAAAAAAAGGACAAAAAATGAATGATTTTCTTTTTTTGTTTTTTTTTTTGTTAATTGAGTTTCAGATTCTGTTCGCTTGTATGTTCTGTGAAGATGTGTTATGTTACCTTTTCTATTGCCCACACTAATTTTTAATGTTATCTATCTATGTTGCATTTTGCTAGTTGTTCAATTTGATCAAATCCAATATTGTGCATAATTAGTAGGCTCACATAGATACGGGACACAGATACGACACAACACGGACACACAGATATGATATTTCTCAAAAAAGTAGAATACAGACACGTTAAAAATACGCTATAGATAATTATGTTTTGTATATATAATTATATAATTTATTATAAATATAGTGATAATGATGCTATTTATAAAAAATTCAGTACTTTATAATAAGTAAATATTCCATACAGTCATCTAGTGTGAATTTTTAGACTAACATCATAATAGTTAATAATCATCAATTTTTTCGTAAACATTTATTTACTAACCATATATAATTTCAATAATTACTCTCATTTTCTTAATTCCTCTTTTCTAAATCTTTTATGTATCTTTTACTCTTGTTAATTGTTATTATATTTTGAGTACAACTTTAACAAGTCTAGCCTTAATAATTATATGTTCTCTCATAGTATAAGATATTACATGTTGAGACTGTCTGGAGAGTGCCCGTGTTCGACACAAATACGTCACCTTCTTTAGAGTATCCTTACTTTATAGTCTAAAACTAATGGTGATATGAATACAATTGATGGATACTTTCTCTCTCCCATCTATCCCCCTTCTTTGATGCTGAATTGGTACCTCCATGCTACTTTTCTGAAACTGCTTCATAATTTTTTTCTCCATCTAACTGGTTAGCGGCAAGAAACTTGGGCAAAAGAAGAGAACTTAACACACCATAAATTAATCTTTTCTCGTGTTCATGTAGACTTACGATGGCCTTGATGTAGTGTTCTTTATATCCTAAGATCACATTTTTATGTTAGACCCATGGATACAAGTTGATATCACAATTAAAGTATTGCAGCAATGATGTGCCAGCTAATCATGTTACATAGGTCAATAAATAAAATAGTTTGTATTCGGGTTACAATTATGGTTCAGTTACTCAATGAGCAAATCTGACTGATCGGAGACAACGAGTTCATTTATACAGGTTAGATAAATCACAATGTTTCACCCATTAAATGATACAATCATGTGAACGCTGAAAGTATTGACCCAATAATTAAATGAGTAATGTTCAGGTTGGTCTGTAATGCTAACTCTCTAGTACAAACACAACCTTAATCAAATGCAACCCAATCCAATTTCTTAATTTATATGTATCTATCTAAGTGCACAAACACTAGGACCAGCCCCTCTTTTTGCAATTACAGATTTTTCCTTGTTTTTCCAATTTCTTTCTTTCTCTGTCATTGCATATAAAGAAACTGTCTATTTCCTTATTTTGAAGAACCATACCAGGACTTATATCGCAATATATACTCCTAGTATCCAGTAAGATTTGAGAGTACATAAAATATGTCATGTGTCCATGATGATAATTTTACTCCTGGATTCCACTTCTAAACAACCATGAGTGTATCATTGCTTATAATCATAAAATCAGCCTCTCTCATACCACTCTTCCAAAAATAACATGTTTGAGTCACTGCTTCCATGTGAATCATCGAAATAGATATCTTGATTTCATTAGCTCAAAAGTGTAAGATATTGTTGACACAACATGGACAAAAGCCTCACTTTCCATTGACACACCACCAAGACTATAACATTGTAAGCAGTTCAACTAATATAAGCAACATATTTGAAAACAAATGATTAAAAAATTTTAAATTCATACATCTGCCAATCCCAAAACAAAAGTCCTATATTATGCATTTAATCCTATCGACCATAAACCTCACTACTACCTCAAGATACGGTGCTGCTTCTGAAGTCAACCCAACAGTCGCGGCAGCCAACCCTATCAATCCTCCCTACCCAAAGTCACAGCAAAAACATCACGTTTCAAAACATCAACATAACAAAATTCCCAAAACCTAAAACTTTCATATTCTTCAAAAGAATCACCCTCTTTTTCTCTCTCACCTTCCGATGATTGGCCTGCGGCGAGTAAGTGAACTCATTGGTCAACAAGTTGATCACCGCCGCAATCTTATCGTGCTCGCCCGCGACGGTCAATTGCTTCACAATATTCTCAATCTATATGAACATACCAAAATCAAATTTCAAACCAAAAAAAAAATCCCTAAAAGATCAGAAAGAATTCAAAATTCGAGAGATATTGTGCAACCTCGAGAGCAGCATTCTTCCTCTTCTCGTAAAGCTTATCGGAGAGGTTTCTCAGAACGGAAGCTGGAACAACAGAAAACACGTCGGCCATAGGAAAAGCAAAAACCCTAGAATTCTTTTTCCTCGATTCTTCCCAAACAATCACAAAACCCTGCGTTTTTTTATCTTCCTTTTCACAATTTCAAACATAATTGACGTACATACAGATACAGATAGATATGACAATATGCAAAAGGAAATTGAATTTCCTTTTTGGCGATTTTTGAATCTGTAAAGTTCGAGGGAAATTGATATAGATCTACCGGCACTATGACTAGGAAAGGAAACAGAATCGAGTGTAGTCGTTACTATTTTCAAGGGAAAAAGAAAGTCTCTTTTGGGTGAATGGCACTTTGACCCCAAAATATTTGAAATTCTCAATTTATACACCAAAGGATTAATTTATTCATATTATACAGTCCATATCATAAAATAAAATAAATTACAATGTGACTCTTATCAAGAAACATAATTGTGGAATAATTTTCTGATGATTCCATTTATCGTAATTGTACAATATATATAGTACAAACATTAACAAGAAAATAAAAATAAAATATTACAGAAAAATATCCTACAACTACTGAATAAAATAAGATTACATAATTAAGGATATTGATCAAATCAAATAATGACCAAATCATATCCTTAATTTTAGCACTCTCCCTCAAGTTGGAGCATGTATATCGCACATGCCTAACTTGTCTAAAGAGTGATCGAAAACACTACTAGCAACAGCTTTGGTAAAGACATCGGCTAGTTGGTCTTCAGACTTCACAAACGGAAAAACAATGATTCCGGCTTCAAGTTTTTTCTTAAGGAAGTGTTTATCAATTTCCACATGCTTCGTCCAATTGTGTTGGACTGAATTATGAGCAATCTCTATAGCATAAGTGTTATCACAATACAATTTCATTGTCTCCTGAGAGTGAACACTCAAATCCTTAAGCAAGTTCTTCAACCATAGTAACTCACATACTCCCAAAGTCATGCATCTATATTCAGCTTCTGCACTAGACCTTGCTACCACCTGTTGTTTTTTACTCCTCCAAGTCACAAGGTTGCCCCCTACAAAAGTAAAGTATCCTGATGTAGTTTTTCTGTCGTCAGATGACCCAGCTCAATCTGCATCATTGTAACCTTTTACCTTCAAGTGATTATTCTTGTTGAACAACAACCCTTTACCTGGAGTAGATTTTAAATATAGCAATATCCATTCCACAGCATCCATGTGAGGTTTACGATGATCATGCATAAACTGGCTCACTACACATACTAAATAAGCAATATATGGCCTAGTATGGGACAAATGAATTAATTTTCCCACAAATCTCTGGCACCTTGCTTTATCAGTAGAAGTTGCATGCAAACAATTAAACAACTTGTGATTTTGTTCAATAAGGGTATTTGCAGGCTTACATTCAAGGATACATGTTTCAGTTAACAAATCAAGCATGTATTTTCGTTGAGATAAGAAAATATCATTCTTTGAGTGGGCTACCTCGATTTTGAGAAAGTATTTTAAATCTCCAAGTTGTTTCATTTCAAACTCTAAGGCCAAGTGTCATTGTAAGCTCTCAATTTCTTCTTAATCATCTCCCGTCACCACCATGTCATCAACGTATATAATCAAAGCAGTAACCTTATACATTCGATGCTTTAAAAACAAAGTACGGTCTGAGTTGCTTTGTTTATATCTGAAGCTCTTCATAGACTTGGTAAATCTATCGAACCAAGCTCTTGGAGACTGTTTTAACCCATACAAGACCTTTTTGAGTTTGCACACCAGGGGCGGAGCCAGAATTTTGTCTCAGTGGGGGCAACCTATTCATAGTTGATTGAAAAATAAATTTGTCTAATTAGATTCAAGTTTAAGAGTTCGCCATTAAGTTCGTAGCAACTGAGATAATGGACTACACATAATCAAAGTATAATCCATAAATCCAAATTAGAACTTCAAGAAATCAATTAAAGCAATTTAATCTTAGAGAAGAAAAATAGCACTAACCAAGACTAAGATAGCCAATCTGAAAATAGGCTTTAAAAAAAATCCAAAATAGTTGAGGGGTGACCCAAGACGAAACAAAAAAAACCTACATAAGTCCATAAATAATACACCAAACAACCATCAATTCTACAAGAGTTAAACTAATTTTGTAATATAAAAAATCTGATTTTAGATTAGTGCTAATACTACTATCAAAAATTTTGGTTAATAGAATACCTCTCATTACCTTCAGCATAATCTTCTAGGGTTTCTTCAAATTTGATTTGCATAATGATTAAATCCAATAGGGTGATTTGTTGATGAATATACCAAATGAACTAATAAAGAAACTAAATAATAGAAAGAAGAGGGGCTGGTGGCTGCACGCCTGGACTAAACTGGATTGGAAGTCTGGACAAAAAAGACGAAAACTTACGAAAACAAAAAACAGGCATGAAAAGGAGCTACCAAAAGTTTAGCTTTTAAGGGTTTAAAATTATATTAATATATTCATACTTTGAGAAAATTAAGAAAATTTCAGTGGGGTAAGTTTAAGAAATTCTTGAAATTTTTAAAATTACACTTAGGTCCTAAATTTTTTAAAATTTTAGTGGGGGCAACTGTCAGACGTGAAAAATGAGGAGGAACTACTAACAGTTAGCTTTTAAGGGTTGAAAATTATATTAATATATCATATACTATATGAAAATTTCAGTGGGGGCAACTGCCCCCATACTAAATCCGTCACTGTTGCACATCGTTGTAACATTTGAGTATTTTTCCACACCTGGAGGGGGATCCATACACATTTCCTCTGTAAGATCTCCATGTAAAAAGCATTTTTTACATCAAACTGAAGAAGTGGTCAATCTCGGTTTACCGCTAAAGACAGGAGCACTCTAATTGTATTAAGTTTGGCAACAGGTGCAAAAGTGTCCTGGTAGTCAACTCCATAAGATTGCGTATATCCTTTCGTAACCAATCGAGCTTTATACCTCTCAATCGTCCCATCCGCTTTATGCTTGACCACAAAGACCCATATACATCCCACGTTTTTTTTTTCCTTTCGGTAGATTCACAAGCTCTCAAGTATCATTTTTCTCAAGCGCTGCCATTTTTTCTGCCATGACTTGGGTCCATCTATCATCTGCCAGAGCTTCTTGCATTTTACTAGGAATAGAAACAAATGATAACTATAGCACATAAGACACATATGACTTGGATAGTTTTTGACAAGACACATGATTACTAATGGGATATCTAATTTTGAATTTAGGATCAAGCTCATATTTAACAGGTGGTACACCACGATTAGAACGAGGTGGAAGACAATATTGAGACACTTGAGATTCAAAAAAAGATTATCACTACAAGTGGAATTAGGATTCATGGATATCTCTGGAGAAATCTTAGAAGAAGACTGACTCAGTGGTTGTGTTGAATTGTCGGAATGCATTGTACGATCATGAAGAACATTATCTTCAGTATGAGAAGTCTCTGGTCCAACAACCGATAACTCTTCCCTTCCATCAAAAAATTTACCATGTCTTGAAGAATCTTCAAATGAAGAAATATTTTCTGAATTTTTAATAAAAAATGCCTCCGATTCTTCATAATTTATCACTTCTTCTGAATTCTCCCCCTAAAATGGTAAATTAGGAGTCGGCACCCTGTAAAAAAGTTCGGTCTCATGGAAGGTAATATCTATGGAAACATAAAGCTTATGAGTTTTTGGATCATAACACTTGTAACATTTTTTATTGTTCTCATATCCCACAAAAACACACTTCAAAGCACAAGACTCAAGCTTAGTCCGTTGGCGCGGATGCAAATGAACATAAACTACACACCCAAAAATTTGTGGAGCCAAAAGTACTATCGATGGAAGAGTGCAATGATCAGAAAGGGCATCCAATGGTCTTCAAAAATTAAGAACACTAGATGACGTACGGTTTATTAAATAGACCGCCGGATTCAAAGCTTCACCCCACAAGTAAATAGGAACATGACCCCCAATTAAAAGAGACTGAGTAACTTCCAATAAATGTTGTTTTTTTTCACTTTGTGACACCATTTGTTGAGGAGAATCTGTGCAAGATGTTTGGTGAATAATCCCTTTAGAGTGCATAAATTCCATCAATTCTTTCTTTTCGTACTCGCCACCATTATCAGAATAAAAGACTTTTATTGGAACACCAAACTGAGTAGTTATCATTTGATGGTACATGCAAAAAATTGAACAAACATCACTCTTGTGTTTCATTTGATAAACCCAAGTCATGCGAGTGCAATCATCAACAAAAGTTATAAACCATTTCATCCCATTAAGATTAGAAGTTGGGGTCGGTCCCCAAACATCTGAATGAACTAATGAAAAAGATACATCTATTTTATGATCACTCAAATGAAAAATAGTACGATGGTTTTTTTCTTTCGCACAAGTTTCGCAAACAAAGTCTGAAATAGTACATGTATGAAACAAGGATGGAAATAATCTCCTAAGATTGACAAAGGAAGGATGTCCCAATCTCCTATGCCATAGCCAAATTTCCTTCTTTTTCTTATTCACTGAATCTCCACCTATTACAAGAGCTTGCCCCTTTTTATCGGAATGTTGAAATTCATCTTCAAGATAGTACAACCCTCCCATTTGTCTACCACTATCAATCTTCTCCTGAGTATGTTCTGAAAGACACAGTAAGTAGGAAAAAATAGAGTAACACAATTATGAGATTTGACTAATTGATTCAAAGAGAGAATATTATAATTTAACGATGGCACAAATAAGACTTTCTCGATTTCTAACATGGAAGATAACGGAATTGTACCGACTCCAATAACCGGAGATGATACACCATTAGCAGTGGTAATAGTGGCTTTGGAATATTTAGGAGATAAATGACTAAACCTATAACGATCACAAGTCATATGATCTGTTGCACCAGAGTCAATTATTCAATCACTATTTCTAGTAAAAGACATACCTAACTTAGTAGTGAATACAAGTGTTGTGGCTAGATTTGCTTTTGGTTTAGAGTCCACCTCCTTATGAGATGCCTTATGACCCTTTGGATGCCATTCTGGATATCCATGAAGTCGGAAGCACGTGTCCACCGTATGACCAGTACCATTACAGTGAGTACATTTTTTATCCTTCTTTTGAGATGGTCATCTTCTGAGAAGCCATTACAACCCCTTCTCCAATATTTCCTCCAAGCATAGCTTCTTAGCGATTAGCTTCCGAACAAACCATAGCATAAGCCGTTTATATATCAGGAAGTGGTTTTG